TCGATTTCGGCTTCGGGGGATTTAAGTCGAGTTGGGGCGTGCAGGGCGTCCTGGTGCACGAATGCATTGCTGGGCTTCCGCGTGTAATGCGTTAGTTGCATTACGATCCAATGCAGTTTGCAGGCGCAGTACATCTGCAATACAATAGCCCCAAATCAATTGTACCATCCCTTTTCATCGGCATGAACATCAACTTCGCCTGCTCCGCGCGGATTCTCCGCGCGCCAGGGCGGGGGTCCCAGCGCAGATCCAAGAAATCCGCGCGGCGCGCCAGTAGTTTAGGTTTGTGGGAGGCGCAGGACGAAAGGAGGAGGACGAGGAGGAGGAGGAGGAGGAGGAGGAGGAGGAGGAGAAGGAGAAGGACGGAGGGACGCTCCTTGTACTCTGGACGCCCGAAATGGGTACGGAAAGAATGGGTACGATGCCCAACAGCAGTTCCTGCTCGTTTTGAACAGGGCTCGCTGTCCGAGCACCCGGGGCCTGTGCCCATTCGAGACAGAGGGCCGCCTGCCCAGCAGCGGCCGCTGTTGGTTCGGGACAACATTTGCTGTTGGGCATGGTACCCACTCTTTCCGTGCCCATTTCGGGCGTCCAGATCCTCGCTCAGGCGAGCCTTCCCTGGAGGGGTGGGAAGATGTGGGAGGGGCACGGAAGCTGTAAGTTGTATGGTATTCGAATGCCCATTGCTTCCGTGTCCATGTCGGGCGTTCCAATAAATCTCAGCCGCACCCCTCTTTGGGTCAGCCAAGACATTGGAGAGACGTCGCCAGCCAGCTGTGCGCCCCGGTGCCCCCGCTCCGAGCAGGAGGAGGAGGAGGAGGAGGAGGAGGAGGAGGAGGAGGAGGAGGAGAAGAAGGATGAGGAGGAGGAAGAGGAGGGAGGAGGAGGAGGAGGAGGAGGAGGAGGAGGAGGAGGAGGAGGAGGAGGGAGGGGGGAGCAGGAGGAGGAGGAGGAGGAGGAGGAGAAGGAGGAGGAGGAGGAGGAAGAGGAGGATGAGGAGGAGGAGGAGGAGGAGAAGGATGAGGAGGCGGGGGGGTAGCAGGAGGAGGATGACGATCAAGGACCAGTCATCTCTGGCGGTTTGCTTGTTTTGGTCCCCAACATCCTCCGCTTTCGGAGCAGATTTGGAGGATGTCTCGAGCGAGGCGCTCAGTTTCTCCCCCCAGGGGGGCCAGATTTTGAGGATGTCTCGAGCGGTTTGCCTGTTCTGGTGGCCAGACTCGTGCCCACATATTCTCCACAGGATGCCCTCCAGCAGGCCCCAGGAGACTTCAGGAAGCCCCAGGAGGCCGGATGAGGTCCCAGGAGGCATCAGGAGGCCACAGGATCTCCGACGGGCGGGGACTGGCCCGGGGTGCGCAGCGACACCGGGTCGCCCATGCCCCACCAGCGTTAAGTCGGGCTTGTCCCCCTACAGGGGGGCTTTCGACGAAAAAGAAGACATACCCCAGACATAGCCCAAAAATGCCCTCCAAATAGTCTGGGGATTATTTTTCTAGTATTTTTTGACCTTTTTGGGGTATGTTTGGGGTATTTTTTATGTTTCGTCGAACATCCCCCTGTGGGGGGACCGGCCCGACATAGCACCAGCGTCGAGGGCCTGGGCGCCCCGCCCTGCCAGGGAGAGAGCGCGCGGCCTCCCGCCAGCGAGGGCCCACGCCGGGTCCATCGGCGACGGCTCGCCGAGTCCAGGCCGATCCCCCCCCCCCCCTGAGCCAGTGCCCCTCCAAAGCTTCCTCCCTAGATGGGGAGGGCGTGGGCCATCCAGCACAGCCGAGCAGGAGCCTGTGGGGAAACAAAAACACACACTGTGTGTTTTTCCCCACAGAAAAAAACACATTGTGCGTTTTGTCCCCGCAGGAGCCTGTGTGTATGTGTGTGTGTGTTTTTCCCACAGTGTGTTTTTGTTTGTGTTTTTTTCCCACAGAGGGCGTGGGCCATCCAGCACAGCCGAGCAGGAGCACAAGGATGAGTAACTGTTCAAGGGTGCCCTTTTGTGGTTGCCCCTCGGCCCGTCCCAACCCCGACCCCTGAGCCCCGGGCTCGCAACCTCGGCATCCATTTGTTGCGCCCAAGGGCCTTGCATCCTCACCGCGCATGCCTATGGTGCTATCGCACTGTGGATGCCTGTGCTGGTACCAGAAATCACCCCAAGTCGTGCCTGCCCGGACCACTTCGCAGGCGCCATACGAGTGCCCACGGCGGGCCCCCCGCAACGGCTCAAGAGAGCCCAAGATGGCCCCACAGGGCCCCGAAGACGTCACCCAGTGCGGCCCAGGCTGCCCAAAGACGGTTCCAGGGGTCCCGAATCTTGGTCTGCAGGGCATCCTAGGCCGCCCCGCAGGCTCCGAGATCGCCCGAGAACGGCCCAGGAGACTCCGAAGGGGACCCCCAGACAGCCCAAGAGAGTCCACAGCACGGCCTCCACGGGCCCGCACACGGCCCCACGAGGCCCCCAAGACGGCCAACGGGGGTGGCAGACGGCTCAACAACGCCCCATGCCGGCCAAAGGGCCGCGGGAGACCCCAGAGAGGGCACAGGAGGGCCCGAGAAAATCATCCCGACGTGGGACCCCACCTCGAACTCCAGGCGCGCCTTCCGCAGAGGACGCCGCGGGCCCTCGATGCAGGAACTCCTCTCGGGGGCGAGCGCAGGATCAGCATGCTCTACATGCGCGTGGCGCGGGAGGACATGACGTGGAGGTGCGGCCGCCACTGGTCGTCCGACGCGCCCGTGCGGCCTCAGCTCTCTCGTCCCTGGCGCAGTTGATGGTGACCCCCCTTGCGCAGCGCCCGGCCCTGCGATGGCGTGGAGGTCATAGGACGGCGGCACCAGGCTTCGTCCCGAGCCGCGCGCGGCCTCGAGCTCCACCCCGTGGGGTCCCTCTCGGTGGGCCTGAACGCCAGCGGGCCCGGGGGCTCGAAACGTGCCCTGCGGGCCCCAAGTCGGGGCGCCTGCGCCAGGGCGGCTGCCCGAGCGGCGCACGGCGCGCGGGACCCGAGCTTTGCCGCGCGAGCTGCCGCTCGGTAGGCCTGACGCGAGAGCGAGCTCGGGCTGGAGGCGTGCAGCGCGGGCCCCGCGCGGAGGGGGCTCCGGGTCAAAACGCCCCCACGATCCACCACAAACGTGGCCCCGCTGGAGAGATCCTCGCGATGACCCCCCCCCCCATCGGAGAGGTCAAGCGCTATGCCCGGTCGGGCTGCGTTCGGTGGCGCATCCGATCTCTAACACGACGCGCGGGCCCCATAGGGAGGGGGCTCCCGCGCGAGATGGCCTCTCTTCCACGCACCAGCCCCCCGCTCGAGAGATCCTCGCGATGTTCCCCCTTTCTGGGCGTCCAGGTACGTGGCCAGGTGAACTGTGCCGATGGCCGCTTCGGGTTCGTTCACGCGAAGTGCGATCCCCATAGGGACGGGGCGTCCGCTCGATCCTTCCTCGCTGCTCAAGCACAGACGTGGGCCCCGCTCGAGGCATCCTCACGATTTGCACTCTAGGTGTGCTCCATTGTTATGCCTGGTGGAGTTGTCCTGTCGCCCTCGGATTAGTAATCTGAGATGCGGGCCCCATTGGGATGGGGATACTTCTCCAGAACCTCGCAATTCGTTCACATAGGTTGATGATTCGTGTGGAAGGAGAAGAGGAAGTGAGGGTGAGGTGGTCTTTCTTACGCTGGGGTGTCCAGGGAAAGCGACAACAAAAACACGCTGGATGTGGGAACATACCTCCCTAGGCCCCCCCCGAGGTCCCCTCCAAGACGCGTCCCAAAATATGTTTCCGATTTTTCACAGACTACCAGCCGCCAGTGGTTTTCTTTTTGCACAGCAAGGCAGAGGACGACAGTGATTTCCCGAATGCGCTTTCGATGGTGAACATTAGTTTCGGATTCGGTTGCTCGCCACTGTGCGTGCTTCTGGGTGTGTGTATGCGCGTACGTGTGTAGTGGGTACGGTGATTTTGTTTCGCGCGGATATTTCTCTATGCCAGCGATGTCGTGTGAGGTTTATTTGTTAGTAGCGATGTGGATTTGTTGCCCAGGCACGCGATCGTTCTATAGCGCGTTTCCAAATGCATGTGTATCTATCTGTGTGTATATATATATATATGTACGTGCGCGTGTGTGTGTGCGTGTGTGTGTGTGTGTGTGTGTGTGTGAAGGTACTTGTCTGTCTACGCGCGCGTTCACGACAGCATTGCAGCATGATCGTGCGTATCTACAATGATGAGGAACAGCACTCTCGGGCTTGAGGGGTGAGGGAGCGATCGTCGCGGGGGGGCTTTTGTCGCAATGCCAGCGGCGGGGTTCGTAATTAGGTCCGCGGGTGTCGCAAGGTGTGCCGCGGTCGCGGATCGCCGCGGTCGCAGGACGCTTGCAGGTCGCAGCTGCTGGCGGGTCGCTGGACGGGTCGCGGGGCGGGTCATGGGCGGGTCGCCGCCAGGTCGGGGGGCTTGGGGGACGTGCCGCGATACACGCTGGTCGTTGAAAGTAGGTATTTTTGGATTCCCGGATCCCAGTTCACTTCAAGCACCTCCCTACTTCAAGAACCGTTTTGCTGTTGCTGTTGTTGTGTGTTTGTAATGTTCTGGGAGAGCCTGAACCCAAGCAATGCTTTTCCCTACTTCTTCCGACCGACGAAAGTGCCGCACGCAGGCGGGTCGCAGGGCAGCGGTGCAAACCGCGGCGGCAAGAGAGTGGCATCGCAGACCCAACTGCAGCCCCGCGCCCAGTAGCAGTATAAGATCGATCGGCCACCTGACTCTGATGTGCAGGTATGTGTGCAGTGTGAGCTTGCGTGTGAGTGTATGTGCAGTGTGCGTGCGTGTGTGTGTGTGTGCGTGTGTGTGCCAGATCCCTGCTGCGTTTTCGCTCCCGCACTAGGTGGGAAGTTATTCCGGGCGCATCCCGCCCTCTGCCACCCGAGCGTGGTATTTGGGTGTTCAACATCTGTTCGGGCATCCTAGCTCGACCAGTGGTTTCGGCCAGCTCGGTTAGCAGTCTCTTGCATTCTTTGCTCGAAGATCCCAGCAGTGCCCGTCCTGGCATGCGCGCGGCCATGATTCGTCTTGTCGCGTTTTTTGCGCTTGGTCGAGCAGCAGCAGATGAGTGTCCGTGGCATGGGTGTAACAACGCCGATTATAACGATTGCACGTATAAGTGCAAGTCGTGCGATGCGTTGCACACCTACTACCCTCACTCGTATGATAGTTACGGCGATTGTGTCCACGAGACCTGCAAGTGGGACGACGACTATTGGGAAGACTGGTATGCGAGCATGATCATCGGCACGATCATCGGCGTCATCATTTCAACCATCACGCTCGTTCTTGCATCGTGCCCTGTATGCTGCGGCGTCATGAAGGACAAGCCCTTGAAAGCTTTTGCGTGTGTCCTCGCGTTGATCACCATACCCCTTTACTTCCTCCCGTACATTGCCGCGAAACAGACGACCGTGGGCCTCGTGGAAGATATCTGCGGCGGCTGCTCAGGTGGCTGCACGCAGGAGGAAAAGACGGAACTGGAGGACACGATCGATGGCTACAGCATCTTCATTGCGTACACGTTCAGATCTCAGAAGGCCCGGACCCTTCGAGTATTTCTCGGTCAGGCCACCGGCCTGGCCGATCTCGCGGTCTTCTGATGAGAGCGGCCGATGAGGCCGTCGATCGGCTGGGGGATCGGCGCTTCCAGCTGGATCTCGGCTGGCCTGATTATGATCAGGATCTGAAAAATGGGCATCGCGTATTGGGGGGGGGGCGATCGATGGGGGGGGCCGTGGGGGCTGCAGAAAAGAGGTCCCTTGGGGCCCCTGAAGTGAAGAGGGCCTTTTTAGGGCCCCCAAGGGCGCCCTTCGGGCCCGAACAGTAAATCTTTCTTGTCCCCCCCATGTCTACCCCACCACACTAAGCGACGCCCAGTTCGTCCACGCGCAGAGGCAGGCAGAGGGAGGGGGGGAAGAAGGCTTCTGAGAAGCACCCCTGCTTCTCAGAAGGAGCGCGCCTTTGTCTGAGAAGTGTGGGGCCGGCGCCCTACAAGAAGCAGCCTCCTGCTAAGAAGCCTCCCCCCCTCCCCCATACTCCATTCGGCGACGCTCAGCGAGAGGGGCGTCCCCGAAGGAGTGGGATGCGCGCGGTGCGCTCCAGGGATGGGCTTCGCCTTCGGGCCGTCGAGGGAGCTTGGCCCGCCGTCTTACGCATCGGCGGGGGCCGGCGGGGGCAAGCGGCGGTGGCGGCACCGCCCGGCGGACGCAGGCGAAGGCAGGAGCTGCACTCCCAGATCGCTATGGGCTTGGCATTGCTCGGAAGTGTGTTTTTTTTCGGCGAGGGCCCTCGAGGCGCACATTGGATCGCTGTGCGCAAAAAAAAACACACGAAGTGGAGAAGTGCATGGCGAATTGACGTTCCGAGCGATGGCGAGTCGGGGGGAATGGGTCCTGAGCGAAACGGGTCCTGAGAATTTTCGCCGTCTTTGGCCGTCCACGAGCTAGAGGAGTGTCAGAAAACGATTCAGGATGATGAACTGGTTGTGGGGAAGACCGTAGGGCCCAAGATCCGTTTCGATCAGGGCCCGTCTCCCCCATGCTAATCGGGGGCGGCAGAGAGGGGGGTGATGACTAGGGGAGGAGGGGATATCATGGTGTGGGCCATGATCTTTCCCAGATTTCATGGCGCCTCTTCTTATTGCTAAGGCCTTACGGCCGGTGCCGCCGACCCTGAAGAGACCGACGACGAATACGAGGAAAAGGAGGAGGAGGAGGGGGAGTAAGATGGAAGGGAGCAGGCGAAGGCGAAGGAGATGTTCCCCATGTGGGCCGAGGGAGTCGTAGCAGAGACAGACAGAGAGCCTTGTGGCCTGCGGCCCTTCCCGCCACCGTGCTGGGGTTGTTGTTGAAAGGCCTCTTGGATGTTTTCGGGCCTGTTGGGGCCTCTGTTGGGCCTCTTGGGGGTCTCTTGGGGGCCTCTTCGGGCCCTTTGAGGGACTCTTGGCCTTCCGGGAGCTTCTTGAGGCGGGAAGCTCGAAATGTCTGTTCGTGGCCCTCTTCTTGGGCCTATTGGGGCCCTCTCGGCGCGTCTTGGCGCTTGTTTGACTGAGCGCACGCCGACAGGGGGTCCACACGCCGACACCGTCGGCGGATTTCATTACGTCCCTGGCTTCCCCTTGGGCCGCGCACATGCCGCCAGCCATGATTTGCGCCCCCCCCTCTTGGACGCCCCCCTCCTGGCCGCCCCCGAGTTTTACCAAAGAGATACAATTTTTCGGGAGCGACGTTTCCGCTGGGACGTCACTGGGGGGCCTCGCGTGTCCTCGCAACTCCCTCTCTTGAGTGCACTGGCGTGCGCCAGCGCTTGGGCGTCGATGGGAAAGCGCCGAGTCGGCGTCGATCAGAACTGGCAACGCCTCTTCGCACCGCTTGCCAATAGCCAGCAAGATGGCACGGGAGGCTCCCGTGATCTTCTTTCGGAGTCCAGGCTTCCTGGAGCGGTCCACATGACGTGACCGGCCTTGGAGGGGGAGGCCGCCTGACGTCGTGGAGTTCGGCCCTCGTCTGGTCGAGCACGCCGGCCACGCGCACGTGCATCGAGCGCCGAGCGCGTGACCCCCGAGAGTTGGGATGGCTGTCGGGTAATGTTCGGGGCCTGGTCGGAGGTGCCTCTGGCCCATTCTTCTCACTTCTCTCTGCATTGTGGAGCCCCCGAGGCCCTTTGGGCCTCGTGAGAGGAGCTCTGGAGCTCGTGGGGGCCTCCCTGGAAATCGTGGGGGCACCTTGGGCCAGGGCAGCTGCCAGCAGCACCAGAAATATGTGGACGATCAGACGGATGATAATGGCTGGCAGTGGTCCTTGTTTCTTTTGGTCTGGGCTCGTTGCTGGATTCCATGCGAACGTGGTCCATTGCGTTGGGGGACGTCGTCGACCGAAGAGCAGTCCCTGCCAGTTTGGGACATCACCCGCCGTGGCATCGTCATTCCCATCCGGGCTGCCCGCACTTCGCGCGTGCCAAGCCGGCTCCGCATGGAAAACCCGGCTGCGTGTGCTTCGGATGTCTCCGGAGGCCTCCGGAGGCCTACGGGGGCAGAGAGGGCCCGAACCAATCGCACGACCTCTCGGGTGACGGCAGGAGTGGCCTCGGACCAGTGCGTCCCCTGGGCTTCGTGAGAGGCCACCGCCGCGGGCCGTCGCCGGCGCCTGACGCTCTCGGACAGCTCCCGGAGGGAATCGGAGGACGGAGAAGCGACGCCAACACCACCAGGGGGGGCCACCTCCAGCGAGGAGATCCACGATGCTTCCCCGAGCTGAAGGCTGGGGGTGTCTCGAGCGAGAGGGGGGGACCACACCACCAGGGAGACCCCCCCTTGCTCCTCGCATCTCCTTGCCATGGTGGTGCTGGTGTCGCATTTCCTTGTTTAGAAGGGAGCGCCCGAGACTGCAGCACCGCCCAGGCGCTGAGGACGTTGGGCCAGGGAAGTTTTGCGGCAACACCCTGGCCGTATGGAGTCCAGGTTTCGCCAGGCATTCTTGTTTTCCGCGCAAAAGTGTTGCCGAAAACCTGTTGAAACCTTCCAGGAAGCGGCCCAGGAGGGTTTTGCCAGGCTTTCTGGATGGCTTCGGCAAGATTTCGGGAGGGTGTCGGTCGCTTCGGGGGAGAACCAGTGCCTAGCGAACCCTGGACTCTCTAACTCTAATCTCAGTCCCCGTCCTGGCAATTCGCTGTCTGTTCATGGGATTCTTGGGCGGCGACCTTGAAATCAGCTTCTCCTGCACTTGGACCGCATTTGGACCGCATCTGGCCCTTCCTTCTGCTCGCCCTCGCCCGTCCTGATGTTCCTCCCCCTCTTCGTTTGTTTTTCGGATTTGAAACAAATGTGGGAATGAGGAATTCCTCGTTTCTGCATTTGCTCCAAATCTGGTCAAAATCGGGCCCAAATCGAACAGCGCCGAAGGTCACGCAGGTTCCCATGGATCAGACACCAATCCGCAGCCGGCATCCTCACACCACCACCGTGCCTGGGCAGGGCAATCCTGGGCCTTGGCATGGTGTGTATGCCCGCCTGGCCGAGGCCAGGAGGGTCCATACACCGTCCTGGGGCCGGGCCAAGGATGGACCTGGCCAGGCACGGTGGTGGTGTTCGGGGAACGAAGAATGACATAAACATAAGAACTCAGAATTCCGAGCGAATGTCTCAGGTCCGCGCTGGACCCCCCTGGCGGGTTCTCCGGCGCCGCCCGGGGCGCGCCCCGCGCGCCAGGGAGGGGGGTCCAGCGCCGATCGGAGAAATTCGCGCGGATTTCCGAGCTTCCATGTATATGTCATTATTCGTTTCCCTCTGTGTGTGTATATATATATATATCGCCGATCGGAGAAATTCGCGCGGACTTCCGTGCTTTAATGTATATGTCATTATTCGTTCCCCTATGTATATATGTTTCCTGCGTAACCGCATGGCAAGGTTTGGATACGGCTTCGCCGTCCTGATCTTGGCTGGCATCACGCACTGCCTCACCTGCTGCATATGCTGCCCGTGCTGCGGCCCGCTTACGACGACACCCCAGGGCCTGGGAAACGCCCCCAGGGATGGCAGGAATTGGGAGGAGAGGGAGGAGGAGGAGCAGGAGGAGGAGGAGGAGGAGGAGGAGGAGGAGGAGGAGGAGGAGGAGGAGAAAGGGGGAGGAGGAGGAGAAGGAGGAGGAGGAGGAGGAGGAGGAGGAGGAGGGGAGGGGACTATCGTGGCAGTGGTTGCTTGTGCGTCTTCGACTCCACTGAGGCCCCCCCGAGGCTCCTGGATGCTGCAGTCCTCTCTGGAGGCCCGACCTTCGGGGACGTCCGCGGACCTCTCATGGCCTCCAGGAGAAGGGAGCCACTGCTGAGGCTGGGATACAGTGGATACCCATGCCAAGAAACGCCCTGCTTGCCTCCAGGGTGCCCTGGGCTTCTCGGATTCCGATGGCCTTGTCATGGACGGCGTGACCGTCCCCGCTCGAAGAGCGAGTGCACGTCCTGGGGTCTCATGAGTTGGGCTTCCCGTGGAGGGTTTCTTGTGGACTGGCCTCCACTGTGCAGCTCCCGTGGAGGGTCGAGTGCTGCACCGGCGCTGCTGTGCGTCTGGGTCCCTCCCGGGGGCGCGCAGGGATCCGCGCTGCGCGCCTCGCGGCGTGGCCTGGACGGCTGCCCCGCCCAGGGGAGGGGGTGGCGCATGCGCACGAGGGCGCGGAGATCGCAGCCGCGCGCCGCGCCTCGCGGGGCGCGAGGCGCGAGTGCAGGCGGCCTGGGTGTGTCCCTCTGGTCGACGAGTGGCCCAATCTGTTCCAGCCCGCTGGATCTGGGGCCGATCTCCCGCTCAGGCAGAATCCCGCCCGGTCCCGCTCAGTCGGGCCTATATATATATATATATATATATATATATATATTTATATATATATATATATATATATATATACCCCAGGGCTCGATCCGGCCTGATCCGGTTCGATGGCCCCTCAATGCGGCTCAATAGCCGTCGACATCGCTCTGACGACCTCCCAGGAGCTACCTCTCCGAACGGAGAGAGGGGGAGATGGAGAGGATTCGAGGAGGAGGGAGGGTGGGAGGGGTTTCCTTTGAGGTATCCGCAGGGTGGGGGGCGTTGGGGAGGGAGGAGGGAGGGGAACAGAAGAGGGCAGAGAAGAGGGAGGCTCCAGGGGGAGGACGAGTAGGGAGAGGAGGGGGGGGCCCTCCAGGAGGAGGAGGAGAAGCTGAGGTGAGCCCGAAACGTATCCACGTCCACTTCTTCACTCCTCCTCCTCCTCCTCCTCCTCCTCCTCCTCCTCCTTCCTCCTCCGTAGCCATTTTGGCTCAAGATGTTAAGTTCCGCAGGGGAACAAGTGGATACCGCTAGTCCGCGGCAGTGCCAGGGCTGTTCAGCCCGACACCCTCTCTCAGGACCTGGGCGGGGAGCTCCGCGCTGCCGTCTTGAGTCCCGCCGCTCTTAGTACTTGAAGGTGCCCATGGGCGGCAGTCGTCATGAACGGAAGTCTCGCAAGGCGAAGGAGGAGCGAAGGGCGCCGACGGCATCATCACGTTCTGCATCCTCCACTCCACGTGCTCCTTCTCCATCGGAGCGGCTGCGTGATCTTCGGGATTCTCACGGTGCTCTGGACATCCGTGAACGTGATCGCATTCGGACGCGGGATCGATACCTCCCCGCTGCCAGCGACGCATCAGCGGAGGGCTCTCGGCGGTCCCGCAGTGCTGGCCGTGGCGCTTCTCCCGTCATCGTCGACAGCTCTTGTGGCACGCAGCATTTCGGCATTGCTACCCCCGTCCCTGCCGATGAAGGGCATGTCCCAGCTGGAGGTGCGAAAGCCTCGCCCTCTCCGTCCCCTTGGCCGACTCCACCAGCTTCGAGGCCGTGGGCGACTCCTGGCACCCCCGCTGAAGGCCGAGCGCCTGATCCATGGGCTACGGCAGCTATGTCCAATGGAACCACAACACATGATGGGGGCAGCAGTGTTGCCCAATCTACAGACTCTTTTCAGGCGGAGGCCATGCAGGCCTTCACACAGAAGGCGATGGAGACCATCCTGGCCCAGCTTCCTGCCGCGCTCAGCGCGGCCACAGTCCCGCTCATGGAAAAGTATGAGGAGCGCTTCAATCAGCAGCTTCGACGGGTTGATGGGGAAGTCCATGCACAGCGTGCGCGTTCAGATCTTCTCGACAGCACCGTGGCGGGCCTCGCTCATCGTCTATCGCATTTGGAAAAAGAGCTGGACCTCGCAAAGGCGAAGCCACGTCCTCCTGTTGTTCCGAATCCAGAGCGGGACAGGGATGTGGATCTCACCATCCTCACAGTGCGGGCATCATCGGCTGTCGCTAAGAATGCTGTCGCGGCGGCAGTGGCTCCTTGGCTCTCCGAAGCGAATGTCCCTCTCGGGGATGGAGTGGAACTTCACGGAGATGATGTCGCCAAATCATTCACTCTCGCATTTCAAGGGCCCATGGAAGCTACCCGTTCTTCGAGAAGGAGTCAGGCCCAGCAGCAGCTCCGTCTGCCAAATGGTTCATGGCGCGCATTCCAGGTTGACGTGGGCACTGAGTCTGTTCCGATCCATATTTCCGCGGATAAGAACAAGAAGATGGTCGCCACAGAAATTGCATGCAAGAAGCTGCAGAGGTGTCTCGCTGACCGTGGCACCCGCACTTTCCTCGACAAGGATAATGGTCAACTCATGGCAAAGTGGGAGCCCCTGGTACGAGTGCTCCCATTACCTGCGAGCAGAACGCCGAAAGTGGAATGGAACCTCTCTGCACTGGCCGACAATTGCTTGTCCAGGGAGGAGGCCAACGAGCTGGTTCGCCAGGTCTTCGACACACGTGAAGTACGGTGGAGTGGGTAACGAGATGTTTGGCGTGGGATTTCTAGCTTTCACGACCTGGAATTCAGGGGCCCTGTTACACTACAGACCAGCGATTTTGAGCAGGAAACTCAGCTATCTGAGCAAACTGTTGGGTGCTGGAAAAGTAGTGGCGATACAGGAGATCCACGGTGGTGAATACGCTATGGAAGAGGCTCTTCAGAGGATTCACTGTACTTCGCATTCATGCTTCGTTTCTGAGTCCGAGAAGCCGCGGACTGGAGGCGTCGCCACACTCGTTCCCAAGGACCCGCGCGTTCGAGCCAAGGGTAAGAGCTTTGTCGCTGGTCGGGTTCTTCTGGTCACTATCCATAATTCAGTGGTCGACTTCACCATCTACCACTGGAACGTGCACAATTTTGCCATCGACGCCGCTGGTCTGAAGGAGATCCAAGCATGTATAAAATCTCAGCTTCGGCGAGTGCGCGATGAACCGATGAAGTTCACGGTGATCCTCACGGGCGACTTCAACATTCCTGCGAAGCCCATCGAGCACCATCGGGGAGAGGATCACACCAGTACTCCATGTTCGTCAGGCCGTGGGGGGCAGGATTCAGCCCTGCAAAGTCACCACCCCACGGCCACATGCACTCCGAGTTCGGCTGCATCGAGGACAACAGCGGCCACCTGCACACCACCTTCTGGGCCATGTTCTCCGAGTCCGTCCTCTTCTTCAGCTTCGTCTCCTGCATCCTCCCAACCAATTGCAGCCTCCTCCTGCACCGCGCCGACGAGGGCTTCACAGGGGAGGCAGGCCACACATGCTTCGTCGCAGGCTGATGGTGCCCAACGGGGAGACTCCACCCTGCGGGTTGGCTCTACTCGGGCGTCCCGTCCTGGCGACTCGAGCTGGCTCAAGATCTTCAGGGAGATGACGGAGCTCGCCTCGGAGGCGCCGACCCACTGGCACGCCTCGACTGCATGCGAGTCCAAAATCGATCGTCTCTTTGTCGCCTCACCGCCATGGCTCTTGTGTCAAACTGCTCAGCTAGTATCAGTCCGTGATGAACCCCATGAGTTGGCCCATCGGGGTATTTCTGACCATTCGCCCCTGGAGGTCGTCTGGCGCCCGCGGGATCACTCCAGAATGAAACGACAGAGGCCCCTCCCGCGTTGGGTGTACAAAGACAAAATTTACGCCCAGCTAGTCTCCCACATGGAATCCCAGGTGGGCATTGAGGATCTCGCTTTCGACCCGCCGCGCATGCTTGCTGCTGCTACCGCTGTCCGGCAAGCTGCTGGACTTCTTGCACGCAATGCCATCTGCCGTGCCGCGCCATCATCGCTGACCTCTCGGGCTATGATTTCTCGTTCTGTTGCGCGATGTGTCTGGCGTAACGATGCCCGTCTTGCCCGTGTTCTCCTATTCCAGCATCCCTGGACGCAGAGTCTCATACGTGTGGATGGCGAGACCGTATCTTTCATTGATCCTGGTGGCTTCCATGATCCCCATAGCTTGTGGCAGCAGCAAGAAGCATAATCCAGAAAGAAAGCTCTCGAGTCAGAGATCAACCAGTCGTCGTCGAGCACGGTCAGGTTTCGTCTAGCTGGGCGTCGTCGTGCTATCATTAGGTCTGCTCAGTTATGGAATCCGTTGTGTCGGCGTAAGTACTTAGCATCGGTCAAGTCGAATGAGATTGTCTCGGTTTCGGAGATGCTGGCGGGCGGCCCACTGACGTCGGAACAGGCACCTACCTCCCAAGCCCCGATGGTGGACGCTTTGGCCTCATATTGGGGCCCCGTGTTCTCCAAGACCCACTCCGTCCCCGCCGTCGCCAAGAGATACATAGACCGATTCAGCAGCTCAGAGGACTTTTCAGAGGTTCGCCCACCCATCCTTCGAGATGTGGAACGTGCGCTGAAACAGGCGAACTGGTCCGCTCCTGGCCCCGATGGGCTTCACTATGCGGCCTGGAGGTGTGGGTCGGGGTCGAGGGTCCTTCTCGAAGTTCTCCGCTGGATCGCTCTTGGGAACTACATGCCCTCCAATTTCACTGCGTTGCTGGCCGTCTTCCTCCCTCAGGACCCCAAGGACCCCTCCCATGATCCTGACGATGGTGGTGTTGTTCGGGCCCCTGGTGATACCCGCCCGCTCGGGCTCAAGAACTCCTCGAATAAAGTGGTGTGCAGCGTGCTGAACCAGACTATGAGCTGGGTAACGCAGAGGATCGGGGCTCCATCCCAAAGGGGCTTTATTCGGAGGCGAAATTTTCTGGATAATATTGTCGATTTGGACCTCTACGCTCGGTCAGCCAGTATTATGTCTACTGCGTCCTCCCAGGCACCGTCGTTGATCGCGTTTGACTTTGCCCAGGCCTTCCCGTCGGTATCCCAGGAGTGGCTATTCCAATGTCTCGCCCGACTCCGTATTCCTGCCCCTCTGGTCCGCGCTCTTCGCTCCCTCTACCACTGCACTCCATGCTACTTCGTCGGCGACTCTCCGATGTACCTATACCACATGAACTCTGGGGTGCTACAGGGCTGTCCGCTGAGTGGTTCGCTCTATGTGATCGCGAGCAACCCGTTCCTTCTGGACTTAGAACACTGTCTAGTTGCACGTGGGCGTCTCTTGGGGGTGGTTCGTGCATGTGCGGATGATCTCGGGGCAGTCCTCTTCCACAACAGAGCGTATCCACGTTTGGCTCGAGTATTCCGACATGCTTCGAGGTTTGCTCAGCTACGACTTAAGCCTGCCAAATGCAATGTGATTCCTCTTCGTGACCCGTCTATGCCTGAGCACGGAACCCTTCTTCGACACCAACTTGTGGGCGCCGGCCCCGCCTGGGCAGACTTTGCGATTGTTTCAGCGTGTACGTATCTTGGATTTCAGATTGGGCCTGGAGCCACTGATGAGAGTCAATGGTCAACTCCTGTCCTCAAGCATGCCACTCGCGCTACGGCAATTTCCTCGCAGGGCGCGGCTCTCTCCACGGCTGCCGCTCTTTATCGTCAGAGAGCCGCTCCAACGCTGTCGTACGTGGCCCAGCTGGTTCCCCTTCCGTGGAGGGTTGGGCAACAGCAACGCTATCTGCTGGCTCGCATCATGCGCACACCAGCTAGTATGCTTCGGACTGGTGACTGCTTCGCGCTAAGTACAGTGAATGGCCCGAAGTTCAGCTCTGTCTTCTGCGTTGCCGCTGCCGCACGGCTTCGAGCAGCTCTGATCACATGTTCGACATGGCGCGAGCAGCTACAGCGACATCGGGATCTCCTCTGGGAATATGGCACGTTCTCCCAGGCTGCCAGTGACGTCTTGGCCCCGAGCTTTTGGAGGGCACCACCGTTTGCTTGCCGCCTGGAAGAGGCGGCGAGGGGCTTCCCATCGTCCCAGGTGCTGAAAGAGGGAGGGCGAATGGCATTGAGTCTATGGGAAGGCGGCGACTCGTCCGTCCCCGCAGAGGTGATCGAGTTCTTCCGAGCTGAGCCTAATCCTTGCCCGCTTCCATGGAGCCTCGCCCGTCGCGTCCCTGAGCCAGCTGAGGGACAAGGACTCCTATGTTCCCGAGCACCCAAGTGGCAGGCGGCCTTCACCGACATCTTTCAGCGTGCAGTCTTCCCCGACAGACTTCTGGAGCTGCTCTCCGCCCGCGTGCAGAAGCACTTTGGTATTCAGGATGTGTGCTGGCCATCTGTCCTCAGCCAATTGCAGATTATGCCCGCATCTTGGGCCTTCATATGTGTGAGGTCGTACCTAGGGGGTTGGATCACTCACCGACGTATGCAACGTGAGGCATGGTGTATCTATGGTTGTGGCGGCCCAGACACTATGCGACATTATTTGACGGAGTGCCATCGGTGCCTACACTTCGGCGCCCTCACTCTTCGAGAAGATCTCCCAGGTGATATTCGGCATCGACTTGGACTGGGGGGGCCGACTCCTGCCGCTCTCATCGCCTGCTACCACCACTATCGGCTGATGGCGGCACGGCACAGCTCCCCGCCTTCGTACAGGAGGGCGCTGGAGCTCGTCCCTGCCGCGCAGCTCGCGGTGAGCTCCCTCTTCGGGGTCGACAGCAGTTGGCACTTCTTCGTCGTCCCACTCTTCGTGAGTCCATCGAGGCGGCCCGCGGAGACCCAGAGGAGAACGGCCCATCGTGTGAGGCTCGGGGCTCTGAAGCAATAGGTCTCCCATGGCTGGTGTCGCCTCACCCACCTCTCTCTCCGCTCCCTCTTGATCCCCCCTCTTGGCTCGGACTCAGTCGGGAGGACGAGCTCGTCGAATTTCGTTTCGTTGATTATGAAATGCCCCGAGACCCGAGTAGGGTCAGGGTAATCTCTGCCGAAGAGCAGGCATTGTACGCAAGCGGGCCTCAAACTCAGGCGCCGTCTGAATCGAGTCCTCTCCTCCCTCGTTCCCCTCGCTCCGATGAGGCCTCGTCCCCGCTCCACCTCACCCTCTTCCAATTCGTGGATTATGACATGCCTCGCAACAACGTTGCGGTCAAGGTGCTGTCTGCCGAGGAGCAGGCCTCCTTCTCAGGCCCCCTGGCAGGTGAAGTATGCCATCATGCAGGCCCGCGCTGCGTACTCTCGCAAGGAGAGGGGCAGGGAAGGCAGTGCAGATACGGGTAGTTCGGGATGTGGGACTCCTTCAGCTACGCTCCGCCTCCTCCTCCTTCCTCCTCCTCCTCCTCCTCCTCCTCCTCCTCGTCCTCCTCCTCCTCCTCCTCCTCCTTCTCCTCCTTCTCCCCCTTTCTCCTCCTCCTCCTCCTCCTCCTCCTCCTTTCTTTGCCGCCCCCACCTGGTGTGGGTAGTTGCTGCACCGCCCCCTCGTCGCAGTTGTCGTCCTCCGGCTACCGGGTACGGAGCAAGTGACCACCGTCCTCGGAGCGCGATCTTCCCTTGTGTCTCATGGAGCCTCGGTCTCCCCCCCTCCTCCTCCAGGAGGAGGAGGCGCAGCAGAAGGAGAAGGAGTGATCCCCCTTTAGTTGTGGTTGGTGGTGGTGGAGGAGGAGGCATATGAAAAGGAGGAGGAGGAGGACCTTTTTGAGAAGGAGCAGGGGAGCCCAACATGTATCCACGTCCGCCCCTGGACACCAGAGCCCGTTGACACCAGAGCCCGTCGGTTGCTCCTTCGACCCCTCGTCGTAGTCGTCGTCATCTTCCTCCTTGGGCCACCTGGTGAGGTGAGGAGCAAGTGGCCGTCGTCCTCGCACCGCGATCCTCCCCTGTGTCTCGTCGTAGCTCGATCTGCCCCCCCCCCCCCCCCCCCCCCCCCCCTTCTCCCTCCGGAAGGGAGAACAGGAGGAGGAAAGCAGGAGGACAAGGATGAGCAGCAGGAGAAACTGAAGGCGGATGAGGAGGAGGTGGGACAGGAGAAGAAGGAGGAAAATGAGGACGTCCTGCAGGTGGACCCCATTCCCCCTCCTCCTCCTCCTCCTCCTCCTCCTCCTCCTCCTCCTCCTTCCTCCCTTCGCCCATCCCCCTTGCAGGAGGGACGGGGCATCTGGGGGAAGGCGGGCCGCCCCCGTAGAGGAGCAAGCCCACGCCCGTCCAGCCGTACTCCGGCGCGCCGCAGCCCGCCGTGATGGGCCAGGTGCTGGGACAGCCAGTAGGCCCCGCGGGCCCGAAAGGGGCCGGCTATACTCAGAGGGGGGCCGTTTGAGGCACTGGTATCTGCACGAACGAGATGGGTACGGAAAGAATGGGTACGATGCCCAGCAGCAGTTCCTGCTCATTTTGAACAGGACTCGCTGTCCGCGCCACCGCGGCCTGTGTCCATTCGAGGCATAAGGCCGCCTGCCCAACAGCGGCCGCTGTTGGTTCGGGACAACATTTGCTGTTGGGCATTGTGCCCATTGTGTCCGTGCCCATTTCGGGCGTCCAAATGGTAGTTGGCCTTCGGTGGGCCCCCTCGTCGCCACAGCTGGGCGCAGCGCGGAAAACCGGTGCGGTTGGACCCCGGGAGGGGGTCCATAGGGACCGTTTTTGAACTCCCAGTGTCTCATCCCGCCCTGCCCCGACCTGTGCAGGCAAGCGTGAGACTCGAGCATAGAAGCTGGAACTCGGGCTTGCCGACGTCTTCTAAAGAGCGCGTCCTGGATTGTGCCGGTCCGGTTGTCGTGGGACGTTTGCAGCGGGACCGTACCCGAGTCTTACGTCTCCCCGATTACGTGAGAGTGACCTTTCGCTGGATTCACTTTCGGCGGAGTCCCCAGATGGCTGACTGCGATGCGATGACGGCGACTTGCGCGCCCCAGTTCGGCCTCCCCGCGGCCTCCGAAAGTCGCACAGCAAAGGTCACCCTCACCCAGGGCCAGGTGTGGCCGACGGGGGAGCGAGCGGGCGTGCCCATGGCCACGTTGCATCTCCTGGGGGCCTCGGGCTGTCCTCCAAGTGGCTGTCCTTTTTTGTGCTTGGTTCGCGGGTTCGGCGTGGATGCGCGGACCCAGCGCGGATTTGGCGCGGACTCGGCGCGGATTCGACGTGGATTCGGCGCGGATCCTGCGGGGACTCGGCGCGGACTCGGCGCGAGGGGACATGCAAGGGCCCTCCGAATCGCAGGCGATGCTCCTCCCAAGCCCCAGACTTTCCGACGAAAATTGAAGCCGCTCAGAACAGGAGGGGAACCCTGGGATTCACACCCCAAAGGGGGCTGCTGTGACGTGCCCCATATCGAGGATGGACGCCCCCTATCGTATATCCCTGGGTTGGGCCCCATGTTTCTGGTCCGTTCGACACCCACGACCCACCCGCGACCCACCCGCAACCTACCCACATTGGTTTAACGAGCAAATCGGCGCCTGCGGCGGGCTCGTTGCATGATTTGTGAAACTTCGGCGCCTGCGGCGGGCTTCCCCAGAGTCTCGCAAACTGCCGACCTCCCCCCCGCCCCCCAGCCCCTAGTCTTATCCGCACCACTGCGGGGTGCTGCGCATTCCCTGTTGCCGAAGACCCGGCGAAGTGATCAGCGGGCGTGTCGGCGGCGGGCGCGCGGCCCAGGCGCCCCCAGACGTCCGGACTCGTGTGCACGGCGTGCCCCCCCGGCCCTGCGGGCGGAGAGCGCCTATACAGCTTGAGCTCGCGCGCGACGTGCCTCCAGGCAGGCTGCCAGTGATCTCGTGCGCTCGTGCACGGCAGGTTCGCGCGGCGTTGGCGCGCCTGCGAGGCCGGCGAAGGCTTACAAGGCTGAAGCCTGACGCGGATGCACCGAGGGACGCAGCAACGCCACCGCGCCCGACGGACTGCAACCTTGGACGATCGGGGCGGCGGTCGATTCAAGGTTGGACGATCGACGCGGTGTCAAAAGCCTTTTCGCTCGCCGACGCCGCGCGCGTGGTGATCGTTTCTGTTATCCCTGGTTTTGCCGATCGGCGCGGGCCCTCGCACCCCCCCTCCCCCCCTCCCCCCCCCTCCCTGGAGTGGCTATTGGCTGTTTTTGGCGCCTGCTTCGAGCAGGTGGAGCCCCTCCCCCCACAGGACGCACTGTCGCAAGCAGTCGCGCTCAGCAGAGGTCCGGAGCCAGGACCCCCCCCCCTTTCCCCCCAGTGCCGAGACGCCGGATCAGACACGCTCGCGCGCTTATCTGGTAGCGTGTGGTGGCCCGCGCACCGCCCAGCTCGCAAGCATACGCCTCCCGATCCCGGGGAAGGGGCTGAGACCTCTGGAGGCTTCGGCCGCTCCGCTCCCCTGGATCGGCCCTGCATTCGGAGTAGTATTAGACCGGGCGTGTCCCTCGACGGGGGGGAAAATTCAAAATAGTCAAAACATGGTCTGGGAAAGATGTTCTGACTGGTTTTGCCCATTGGGGGGGGGTATTGTTTTAGTATTTTTAATTCTTCGCCCAAGATCCCCTGTAGGGGGGCACGCCCGACTTAAGAGTAGTATTGTGGACGGTCCCAGGGCTCGGCGAGGGCTCCTGGAGGTTGGATCGGGAGCCTCGAGACGGAGTCCATGGAAGCGAGGGTCAGCCAGAGCGCCCGATCCTGCAGGATCTTGCAGGGCCAGGGTCGCATGGACCCGGGGGTTGGGTGCAGGATCCTGCAGGCGTTTGCAGGATCCTTCGCACTGACCCGGGTTTGGGTGCAGGATGTTGCAGGAGTCTACCAGGCCTGACTGACCCGGGTCTGGACTGACCCGGGTCAGAAGATCCCCGATCGAAACCGGCCAAAAATTGTCCGTCGTGATTTTTCGACTACACGTAAGAGTGACTTCTCGCTGGTCGCCGGAGCGACCTTTTGTGTGGGCCCCATGGTGTCCCCCGATCGCCGAATGCGATGCGATAGTTGCGTGTCGCGCGCCTGGGTTTAGTTAGCCCCCCCCGCGGTTCCCCGCAAGCCGCGCAGCAAAGGCCACTCTTGCTCAGGGTCCTTCTGGCGCTTTTAGCCGGATTTTCACGGCTCGGGGGGGTCTGGGGAGGATTGGGCGTCGCTTAGTTTACCAGCCTGGAACATATCCCTATCCCTATGCTGGGCACCTCCTCATCACGATGCCACTCTTGGGGATTCCCTTATTTTTGAGGGCGCATCCCTAAGATTGTCATCGCCTTTTGGCGTGTCAATATTAGGGATGGGGATACGTTCGAGGCTGGTAAAGCTCGAGGGGGTCTGGGGAGGATTGGGCGTCGCGCAGTGGGGGGTGGGAGATGTGGGGACCGCGAGGGCCACAGAGAAGGGGCCCTGCAGGGCCCCTATAGAGGGGCCGTCCAGGCCCCAGAAAGGGCCCATCCTCTGCAACAGAAAACTATGCGCGCACACTCCTTTTCAGGAAGGAGAAAACATACAGACACAATCCATCGACGATTCCCCCGAAAATATGGGAAACTATGGGGAATCGGGTTGTTTGTGTCTATTTGTTAGTGTGTCCCAGATCCCCCTCAACTGTGCGCGCACACTCCTTGCAACAGAAGAGACGGAGTGCACATGCGCGCGTCGTCGCGCGCGCATGCCGAAGCCAGTTTTTTTGTATGTATGTATGTATATATATATATATATAGAACAAAAAGAAAAAAAAACAAGGGGGCCCGCCAGGGATCCAGCGTCGAGCTCCCCGGATGACGGGTTGAGGCACGTGGCCTCCCAACAACGGGGGCGCGACGAGTGCACCTCGTTCCCCCCCCCCTTCGATCGCCGCCCTCCCCTCCATTGATCGCTCCCCCCCTCCCAATGATCGCTCCCCCCCCCCTCCCATTGATCGCTCCCCCCCCCATTGATCGCTCCCCCCCCCCCCTCCCATTGATCGCTCCCCCCCCATTGCTCCCCCCCCCCCCCCATTGATGGTCGCTCCCCCCCCCATTGATCGCCCCCCCCCCCCCAGTGGGCAGCGCCCGAAAAGGAAGGGCTGCCGCCTTCGAGCCGCCCCCCCCCCCCCTCCAGGAGGCGGGGCCCCGTGCGGGGGGGGCCCCCCGGCGCGGGGCGGCTCCACCGGCAAAGGCCGCGCGCGAGCGCCGTCGTGAGCGCTTCGAGCGGCGCGCCGCGCCGCCGCTGCCGGCCCACCACGCTGGCGGCGCGACGCGCCAGTTCGGAAGGCGAGCCTGGGAGCCTCGTCTCGCCACCTTAGTCTTGAGTCGGGCCTGTCCCTCTATAGAGGAGGCAGACTCTGAAGTCGTACCACAATAGGTTTGGGAGACGGTTTTTCTAGAAGTTCTGGCTATTTGTGAACTCGTTTTGACTGTTTTCATTTTTCGCCCAAAATCCGCCTGTAGGGGAACATGCCCGACCTGAACCTGGTCTCGCTTTCCCCGTGCAGGAGGAAAATCCCCAAATCGTGCAAGAATAGTCTGGGGAGACGATTTGTCCAACCATTGTTGGCTATGTCTTGACATGTCTTGACTCTTGTTTCCACTGCTCGCCTGTAAGGGGGACATGCCCGACCTAAACATAGTCTCGCTTTCCCTGCACAGGAGGAAAATCCCGACATCGTGCAAGAATAGTCAGTGGAGACGATTTTGGTCAACAATTGTTGGCCACTTTTGGACATGTGTTGACTCTTTGTTTCACTGTTCGCCTGTAGGGGGACATGCCCGACCTAAGCCTACAGTCTCGCTGTCCTGCCCCTCTGGTGTCCCGATGCCGCCTGCCGGCGCCCACTAGAGGCCACACGGGGGCCACTGGCAGGCCGCCAGAGGCCGCGGGGGGGGGGGGGGGCCTGGAGGAGCCACGTGTGGCCCGCTTGGGCCCCGCCGGTGGAGCTCTCTAGCAGCCCGGCCACTATGCAGGCCAGCAAGGCGGAAGATCTGTGGCGCGGGCCTCGCGGGGCAGGCTGTGCGGTGCAGGCTGCGCGGCACGCGGCGCGGGGCTCCCACGTGGCGCCCACGGGCGGGAACGAGGCGCCCACGGGGCGCCTTCGGACGGGCACCAGCTGGACACCAGGCGAAGCCCAGCCCCGCCCGCGCAGCGCGCGGGGCGCCCACAGACATATGGTCTCTTCGAGGGAGACGACATTCCACAGGCGGATGCTAAGCAGGCCTACGCCCAGTCCAAACTGATTATAAGGGGAGCTCCAACATGGATTTGCCTCCCACGAGAAGGGCGGCCCCTCCCTCGGGGAGGGGCCACTGCTCCCTGGAGCGCAGGGCTCCCGGGAGCGCCTCCTGAACGCTGGCCCTGGGCCTGCGGCGCTGCGGCTCGAGGTGGAGCCCAGTTTTTTTGTCCGCGGGGGAGTCGCCGGTGCACCGCCGACGGCGGCGATGCATCGACAATGCATCGGCGATGCGGCGCGGACTTTCGACCGCATCCAGTCGGACCCCAGCCGGGAGGCATCTACCGGCCACGTCCCAGCCAAGCAGCAACGAAGCGTCCAGCGGTCTCTGCAGGCCTGCAGTCGGGCAGCAACACGCTGTGGGGGCATAGGCTGGCGGAGCTCCGCGCGGACCTCCGAGAGCTCATGTCCATGGCTCTTCTCCTTCCTCCCTTCCAGACATGTGCTCCGGACCATTCATTCGTGGCGCTGCAGGCCCGTGCGCGCGGCGCGGTGCCGGGCCTCACCAGCTGGCGGGGCAGGCAAGTGATAGATTCGATGCAGCGCCGCGACGCCCAGAGCTGCTGCGCTCGACGCGCCAGAAGCGCGCTCGCGGCCGGGAGCTCGGGACGCTGACGCCTAGGGGGACCGTCCCCGGGCATCATCAACGCCCCGAGCCTCGCCCGGCCCCCCGCCCAGTGGAGCGGAGCGACGCCGCCGCTGTCAGCTCGCATGGTGGCACAGCGCGTCGCCGGGGCAGCCGCCGAGAGACGCTGAGATCGCGTCGTGAAACATCATGGTGGAAGGTTTCCGGCATGTTTCAGCCCGTGGGGGACCTCGCCCCTGGGACCGTAACCAAATCTGCTCGGGATGAAGAGCTGGCTCCGTGGAGATGGTCGGGACTTCGGAAGGCTTTGTGTTGCAAGCGTCCAGACATCGCACGTCCGGGATGGTGGTCTTCCGAAGTTCTCGCAGGGCTCTTCGCGGGGAGGCCTCGGCGGCAGGCTGTCTGGGGCTCGCAGGGGCCTCGGCCGTCCGCGCTGCGCCTTTGGGGCCCCCGACTGCTCCGGACGGCCTCGGAGTGCTCGGGGCGGCTTCTGCAGGCCAGCCACACCTGGGGGAGCCGTGTTCCTTACCCCCCTGGGGTGCCCATCGACTTCGACACCCCTGTCGAGAGATCGTCGATGCGATGGGTTCCCCCAGGGGGGTAAGGACCACAGCTCCCCCAGTTATGGCTGGTCGGTTCTGCTGTCGGTCTCTGTCGTCGGTCCTCGGTGGTCCTCGCAGAGGCCGCAGGGCTTCCTGGGGACGGCTGGCGGGCCAGCCAGGATCGGCGTGCGGCGCGCGCGCGCCTGTCCCCCCTTGGCCTATTGAGGCCTGCAGCTGGACGGCCGGCCTCTCGGGCGCAGACTTGGCCAGCGGGCGCGTGGCTGGCGGCGGCGCGCAGGCGCGTGTGCGTCTGTGTGTGCGCGTGTGCGTGTGTTTGTGTGTGCGCGCGCGTGTGCGCGTGTGTGCGTGCGTGTCTGTGATCTCAGAGGAGGCAAGGGTACCCACAGCGCTACTCCTCGCCCGTTTTCTTCTTTTTCGGCCTCCTGGGAGGCCCTCGTCGCCACCGCTGGATCCGCCTCGAAACCCTGGTCAGAACGCACCCCGGGAAAGGTCCGGGGAGTAGCGGTATCAGTACCTTATGGTGTCCCCAGAATCTCTGGGTGGGGCAGCTTTCGAGCGAGCGCACTTGCGATCTTTCTGCAGGCACGCAGGCAGGGCAGTCAGATATTTCAGGCTGGCCTACCAGGAGATTCCCCGATGGGCCCGAGGACCCCTGCAGCACCGTGCGAGGCACGATGTCGACGCAGGATGTTTCCCTACTGGGTCTCTTGGCGACATCTCTGTCTGCATGCACTGTGGCTAGATTCGGTGCAGGGACAGAAGGTGAGGAGGGCCCCCCTTCTGCCAGTGCGATCTCCGAGGAAGCGCAGCTGCGGTTGAGAACAACAAGCTCGCCACCTGAGGTGGAGTCACGCCCCTCGTTTTCCCATGCGCGATGACGTGCAGCGCGGGTGAATGGTCTTTTACAGGCTCGTTCAATTAATCCTTCGCCCACTTGTAGGGGAATTCGGCTCTGCGCTGAGTTTCACGTTGCTTTGTCTATTCCCGTGCTTCCCTGTTGCTTCCAACAGTGCGGTTTCTTGCCACTGCAAGACGAGCATGGGTGCCGAAGAGCGCCACCATTTCCCAACCCTCCCGCGTTGGGTTCTCGCTTTGAACAGAGCGCTGTAGTCCATACCTCCTCCTCTCCCGCCTCCCTCCTCCCTTGCTCCTCCTGCGCTGCTCCCTGGATGGCTGCGAAATCCGCAGCTGTCACCACTTCCATGGGCTCCCGGGACGTCCAGCGGAGTAGGGGAGTGCGCGCACCCAGACGAGACCGCACAGCTCCCTGGGCGGCTGCGAGCTGCGCAGCTGTCAGCTCTTTCGTGGGCTCCTGGGAGGCACGGCGGAGCAGGGGCATACGCGCACCCAGAGGCAACCTTGCAGGTCCCTGGATGGCTGCGAGTTGCGCAGATGTCGCCTCTTTTGTGGGCTACTGGGAGGCAAGGCGGAGATGAGGGCAGCGCTAATCGTGCACATCAGGCGATGCGTTCTTTTTCGTATGGAGCGTTTTACACATATTCGCCTCGCTTGGAGAAGGGTTCGGGTACGCACCGGGTAGTGATTACATGGTCTGCTGGCCAATCGTCTCGCCTGTCCGCGCCCCTTTCTGTCTGCAGCAGCAACCTCAATGGTTTCCCCTGCTGCAGCGCTGTCTCCGAGATTGCCTCGCGGCCGCTTCGTAAAAAGAGCTCTCCTCCGCCAGGTGACTCTCGCGTTGCACGTGCCGCACTGGGGGCTCTGGTCTTCCTGGAGTTCCCCTCTCGGGTCCCCCTCGATGCTCGAAGCAGCAGGGCCCCGTTTGGACTGGGTCGGGCCTCCGAAGGCCTCTGGGTCAGGCCTCGGGCGTCCTGGGCGGGCGGGCCTCGTCCTTTCGCTGCTCTGGGCGTCTTTCGCATTTCATCCAGGCTGCTTTTCTCGCTTTCACGTCAGGCTCACGCTCGCCCTTCTCGTCGGCCTCCGCACGAGAGCTTGTCCTCGCGACCCCACATCGTGGCCACGACTCCACGCCTCGCGGCAACGACGCGATGATTCTGGTCGCGTGGCCCCAGAACATAGGTGGGTGGCTGCCCCGCGGGTCTGAAGGGTAAGGATGCAAGAGACGGCCGAGCTGCCCCCCAGAGGCACACTGGTTGCAGACGTCGTTTGTTTTTTTCGTTCAGTTGCGATCCTGGCTTTTCCTCAGGTGGGTCTATCTGGTGGTGTGTTGGCCCTTTGCCCCTCGTCTCCCCCGTTAGATGTTCGTTTGGGAGGACCTTCCTGGGCACCACCTGACAGACCACATGCCTGGACACACCTGACAGACCTTCGATTCTAGTTCGATTCGCGCTCGACTCAGGTTCGACTCAAGTCGCGAGACGTTCGACGCAGCGTCGGCGCCTGAGTTGAGCGAGTGCCTCCAGGAAGGTCCCCAGAACGAGCATCGAACCAAGACGGCCCAAGAGGCGCCCCAGACGGCCCCAAGAGAGGGAATTGGAACTGGCATGCTACGCCATCCGCCCCAAGAGTAGGCCCGAGACCGCCAGCAGGACCTCCAGAGGCCCCCAAAGGCCTCCAAGAGGCACAACAAAGGTACCATGAGGCCTTTAAACAGCCCCTAAGAGGCCGAGCTGCTTCAAAACTGCACCCAAGAGGCTCCCCAGAGATTTCCCGAGAGACCCCGATAGCGTCCAAGAGGCCTCTGACCTACAACCCAGTCACGGTGGCGGGTCGGGTTTATGGCCCAAGGCGGCTCAACAGGCCCCCAAGACTTGTTCAAGACGGCCCGAGAGAGCCCGAAGAGGGTCTTCAGACGGCCCCAGAACCGCACCAAGACGCCCAAGAGCCTCCCCAGAAAGCCTAGAATGCCCCCCCAAAGGCCCCAACGTGGTTCCAACACGACCCAAGGGGCTCCCGCACTGCCCAAGAGAACCCCAAAGCGGCTCGATATCGCCTCAAGACAGTTCAATAGGCCCCTTGGACGGCGCAAGAGGGCCCCAAGAGGACCACCAAGAGGATCTCCACTCGAATTAGACAGCAGTTTACCGGCGAGGCTCTCTCGGCGGTTGCCCAGACCTATAAGATGTCTAAAAGAGAGGTTCAGCGACCTCCAAGAAAGCCCCATTACAGTCCGATGAACTTCGATGCGCTCCAAGACGGCCCACGACGGATTCAAGACGGCACAAGAGGCCCCAACGACGCCATAAGAGGTGTTCCGTATTTTGTGACAGATTCCAGCATTGTTGTTTTTCTTCTGGTTTCCAACGCACCAAGATGCCCCAAGACGCCCCAAGACGCCCCCGAGACCGCCTCCAATAGGGCCCAAGGGTCCTTCAAGAGAGCCCCAAGACGGCCCGAGAAAGTCCCAAGACAACCTCTCTGGCCGTTCTGGGGAGTCTCGTTGGTGCCCTCGCTGGCCCGTCTCGGAGGCCCCTCCTCGGACCGAAAAGCTCAGTCCACAAGACGCCCCGGGCACGACCCTGGGCACGCGGGGGCCCCCAGGCGGTTTGCGACTTCGGGCTCCGGGCCGGAGGGCTGAGGACGCAGGGCTACAGTTTTGGACGCCCGGCATGGGTACGGAAAGAATGGGTACAATGCCCAGCAGCAGTTCTTGCTGATATGGAACAGGACTCGCTGTCGGTGTCGCCGCGGCCTGTCTGCGTTCGAGGCAGAGGGCCGCCTGCCCAACAGCGGCCGCTGTTGGTTGGGGACAACATTTGCTGTCGGGCATTGTGCCCATTGTTTCGGTGCCCATTTCGGGCGTCCCAAACAGTGGCCCTGAGGACCGTCCAACTCGCGCCTCGGGGCACGGTGGCGGATTCAGGCATGGTGCAAGACCGACGGAAGCACTGTCGCTGGCGCCGTGAAACATCGTGCCTCATCCTGCCCCTCGTCGATCCACGTACCGTTCAGTCGGGCCTCTCCCTCTACAGGGGGAATACTCAAGAATAATCAAAAAATAGTCTGGGGACTATTTTTTTACCATTTTTGAGCATGTTCAATGTATTTCTGGTGTATTTTTAAAAATTGTCCGTCCAAAATCGGCCTGTATGGGGGGGACAGGCCCAACTTAAACGTACCGCTCAGACTCACTCTTCTCTGCCCCCGTCTCTCGCTTGGGAGCGTGCGCCCAGCCTGGGTGCGCGCGGAGGGTGGTGCGGCGCCGCGCGTGCCAGTCACCCTGGAGAAGACAGCGGCGGCACCAGCGACGCAGGCAGCGGTGGCGACGACTCAGGATGGGAAAAAACACACAGACACAATGAATCGTCGATGCCCAATAAAAAATTGGAAACTATTGGAAGTGGGGCGGAAGACAAAAACCAAGACACTATGAAAACATATGTGGAATCTTCTTATTTGCGTGTATTTATTTGTGTGTCCCAGGGCCCGTTCAACGACGGAGGTGGGCACGGGGACACGAAGATAGTCGCAGTGCCTATTGGCACTACCCATGTTCTCTGGTCGAGAGACTCGTTCCATTGACTCTAGTCCAGAAGCCTACTTCTCGCTCCAGCATGTATCTGCGTGTTCCGGAAACGCTCTGCTTGAACACAAACTGGGGCGCAAAGATGGGGTAATGACGCTGTGGACGGGACGAGGACCAAGACAGGACAGGTATCGAGAATCGTGGATGGAAAAAGGAGCGAAGGGTGTTCGTAACAGGATTGCATGCGAGAGGAGGACCACGAACCAGGAGGAAGCGGAGGATAGAAGATGGGAGGTGTTATGTTGGTCGGAGGATCGAGGATGGCAGAGGGACGTTCGAGAGCTTGTGTGTTTCCAAGGCATCTTTGTCTGCTCCTGTGGAGGCCCGTGTTGCCTGAGACTTCCTCGCAACGTTCAGAGCCGAGGTGTGGTCAGCGAGATGGCTTGGCGCTTCGGACATCCTGGCGTTGCTGTTGGCGTTTGTTGAGTTCCCATTGTCGACCCCCCCTCCAGTAACCAAAGCTTTTTAGTCAACGTGTTTTTGTTTCTGGGTCTCGCACCTTGCGCTTTTACAAATGAAAATGCGGGGTCACCAATCTGCAGCGTTGGGTACCGAACTACAACAACAACGGCTCCCGCCCGATACTTCCTCACAATTGCTTCCCAAATGGTGCTCTCGCTGGGGACATCCTCACAATGTATGCAGAAATCGCGCTCTCGCTTGGGACTTCCTCGCAATCGATTCAGACGCCGCGCCCTCGACACTCAGGAATCACGCTCTCGCTTTGGCCTATCTCACGATTCACTTGGGAATCGCGCTATCGCTCGAGACTTCCTCGCGATTCATGCAGGACGCACGCTTCTCGACCTGGCCGCCTGGGCCCGCCTTCCAGACACGCCTATTAAGGTCAACCCTCCGATGGGCCCGTCGGGTTCTGCCATTTGTTTCCTGCTCCTAGACCAGCTCCTGCCAATCTCGTGCTCCATCTCCCTCCCCCTTCCATCCGTCCTCTCTTCACCTGCCTCCGGGGCTGCACCAGTTACACGCGGTAGTCAAGGAAGGCGGGTACCGAGGGTTTGGGAGATGCCTGATGGGTGGCACGCACGCAGGTAAGAGCGAACAGCCTTAAGATGTTCGGTGTCGTTGCTGCTGCTGTTGTTGTCAATGGTGTTAATTGTGTTGTTGGTGTCGTCGTCGTCCGTTTCGCGAACTGGCCCGCGACCCACCCCGCGACCCAGCCGCGACCCACCCCGCGACCCACCCGCGACCCACTCGCGACCCATCCGCGATTCACCCCGTGACCCACCCGCGATCCGCCCGCGACCCTCCCCGCGCCGGGCCCCCTCACTCTTATCCGCAACTGCGGCGTGCCACACACATGTATACGTTTACATCTATATACGCATACATGTCATCTTCATCATGCTGATGCTTCGCCTCGTGCGCCTCCTCCCGCCTCCTTCCTCTTCCTACACAAGCTGCAGGACGCGCGCGCACACACACGCACGCACGCACGCACGCACGCACGCACGCACACACACGAAGCACGAGTCCCCCCTCCTTCCTCCTCCTCGCTCCCCCGTGCGCGCGACTCGCCCTCCCCGCACGCGGGGGGGGGGAGAGCCGAGAGCACCTGCCTGGCAGCACGGGGCGGCCCCCTCGCCTGCCGAGCAGGCGACGCCGGAGATGCTGGAGAGGCCCCAAGGCGGGGCCCCCCACGTTCTTCTGGACGCCCGAAATGGGTACGGAAAGAATGGGCACAATGCCCAACAGCAGTCCCTTTTCATTTTCGAACAGGACTCGCTGTCCGCGCCGCCGCGGCCTGTGTCCATTTGAGACAGAAGGCCGCCTGCCCAACAGCGGCCGCTGTTGGTCTGGGACAACATTTGCTGTTGGGCACTGTACCCATTCTTTCGGTACCCATTGAAGGTGTCCAAAGTTCTCGCGCGCGAGAGCCTGTGGAGGGTGGCAGGGGGGCGGCGCCCCCCGAAGGGGGGCAGAGGGGGGGCGAGGGAGGGGGGCGAGGAGGGAGAAGGTGGGCAGGAGGGAGGCGAGGAGGGAGGGAGAAGGAGGGCAGGAGGGAGGGAGGCGAGGAGGAGGGAGAAGGTAGGCAGGAGGAGGGCGGGAGGCGTGCGGGCACGAGCAGGGGGGGGCCCCAGGAGGGAGGCGTGACGGCAGGAGCGGGGAGGGGGCAACCCATGGGGAGACCATGGAGTGAGATCAAACATTTTAGATAAGGATATAAAAAAACCTAGGTGCGAGCAGGGATGAGGGGCGAACGGGGAGAGAAGGGGGCGAGAATGGCCGTTCGAGGAGCGAGCCACAACGAGGAGCAGCGCTGCCGCAGGCAGGGTGCAGGCTGCCACAGGCGAGGCACGGGCATGGAGCCACCCGGGTGCCTGGACTTCTCCGTCGCGCGGCGCTCCCGAGCTGTCGGCCCCTTGGCACCGTGGCGCTCAGAGCTCGCGCGGGTGGACGCTGGTTGCTTGGCTTGTTCCCAGGGGATGGGCCGGAAGCTCCATGCGCACACGCGCGGAGCGGGAGCCTGGGGAGCCTGCCTCTTCTTCGGATGCAGCTCCTGGGGGGTCCAATTCTGACTCTGTGCCCTGGTCCGACATCCGGCGCAATCCGGATTGATCACGCTGAATTCGGTTCAGTCCCGTGAAATTATGTTTAATCCCGTTTCATCCGGGCTGATCCCGCTAAGTCCGCGGCCGAATCCAGCGCCGCGGACCCCAATGGTGTTTAATCCCCCTAAGGTCTTCCGACGAAGACCCCCCCCGCAGTTGCCTCCCAATTCTTCGAGACGTTCTCGACCTCAGGCTCGCTGCGGCGACGGATGTTGAGCTCGACGCGCCCACTGCCGTGCTCGTGCTTGCGGGCTCGGGCCGCGGCCCGCTCGTCCCGCGAGCGGGCCTCCCTCTGGAGGGCGAGCGCGCTCGCGCCGCCGCCGGCCGCCGTGCCCGTGGCCTTGGCGTCGTCGCGGCGCCGTCCTCGCTGCCGCGGGCGCCGCCGCCGTCGCGGTCGCAGCCGTCGCCGCCGACGTCGCGGAGGCTCTTTTGGTGTTCCCCCCCCCCGTTGTCGTGCTGCCCGAGAGCACGGCGGCTGGTCCGCCCCCAAGCCGCTCAAGGTCGGTCCCCCGGGCCCTGCCCCGGGGGTGCGGCCCGACCGGTTCTCAACGCGGACCCGGCCGGTTGGCGACGGGAGGTTTCCAGGAGGCCTTCAGAGGGACAGAGCACCCAGGGAGGGCCACCGTTATTCGACGGAGCACATCCGACGACATGCATACATCTATCTGTCTGTTTGTATGTGTGAGTTCATGCATACATGCATTTACACATACATACATACAGACAGACAACAAGCATACATACGTGCACACATTCATACATACACACATGTATGTATACATGCATCCATGTATGCCTTCATACGTGCATACATGCATACATGCATACACACATGCATACATACTTGGCGTCGTCGCGGCGCCGTCCTCGCTGCCGCGGGCGCCGCCGCCGTCGCGGTCGCAGCCGTCGCCGCCGTCGTCGCGGAGGCCCTTTTGGTGTTCCCCCCCCCGTTGTCGTGCTGCCCGAGAGCACGTCCGCCCCCAAGACGCTCAAGGTCGGTCTCCCGGGCCCTGCCCTGGGGGTGCGGCCCGACCGGTTCTCCACGTGGACCCGGCCGGTTGGCGATGGGAGGCTTCCAGGAGGCCTCCTGAGGGACAAAGCACCCAGGGGGGGGCCGCCGTTCCTCGACGGAACACGTCCGACGACATGCAGACATCTAGTTATGTTTGTACGTATGTGTTTATGCATACATGCATATACACATACATACAGACAACACGTATACATACATACATACATACATACATACATACATACATACATACATACATACATACATACATACATACATACACACATACATGCATGCATAAATACATACATGTATACCTACCTACCTACCTACCTACCTACCTACCTACATACATACATACATACATACATACATGCCTATACATACATACATACATACATACATACATACATGCATGCATGCATGCATACATACATACATACATACATACACACACATACATACATACATACATGCATGCATGCATGCATGCATGCATGCATGCATGCATACATACACATATTCAGACAGACAAACATGCATACTTACATGCGTACAGACATACACACACTTTCAGACATACATGCATACATGCATGCATACATACATGCATACATCCATACATACATAATATATGGAATCATACGAACCTCTCCGAGGGAGTAGAGCTCAGAGGTAATGTGTTAAAGCTGTTGTTTCTTTGCTTGGCCCTTCCAGTCGGGACATCCATCCTCCAAATCCTGAAAATCAGACGCGCCTCTCACGCATAT